GGACAAAGGAGGAGGAGGAGGAGGAAGGAGGAGGAGGAGGAGGAGGAGGAGGGGAGAGGAGGAGGAGGAGGAGGAGGAGGATGGGGGCGGATGAGGAGCAGGAGGAGCAAGAGGAGGAGGAGGACAAGAAGGAGGAGGAGGAGGAGGAGGAGGACGAGTAATGAAGGCGATGGATGAGGAGGAGAAAAGAGGAGGAGGAGTAGGAGGAGGAGGAGGGAGGAGGAGGAGGAGGAGAGGAGGAGGAGGAGGAGGAGGAGGAGGAGGGGAGGAGAGGAGGAGGAGAGGAGGAGGGGAGGGGAGGAGGAGGAGGAGGAGGAGGAGGAGGAGGAGAGGAGGAGGAGGAGGAGGTGGAGAAGAAGAAGGATGATGGGGAGGAGGAGGAGGAGGAGGAGGAGGAGGAGGAGGAGGAGGAGGAGGAGGAGGAGATGAGGAGGAGGAGGAGGAGCAGGAGGATGAGAAGGAGGAGGAGGAGGAGGAGGAGGAGGAGGAGGAGGAGAAGGAGGAGGAGGAGGAGGAGGCGGAGGGAGGAGAAACTGTTTGGAGGAGAAGGAGGCCTCGGGAGGGAGAACGGGGAAGGAGGCTGGACGGTGCAGGATCAAAGAGGATCAAGAGGACGAGGAGGCTGCACGGCGTGGGCCTGGGTGCGGGAGGCAGCGGGTCGAAAGACTCCTCGGCCAAGCGCCGGGGCCAGCCACCGCAGACGCCGCGCAGGGGGGAGGTGAGGTATCCAGACGGGAAGGGCTGCAGCCTGCGCCTCGCGCCCGGATCCGCGCCGGCAACGCCTGCACACCGCGCTGTCTGCGGGAGGGCCTCCAGCCCTCCTGGTGGCTGGCTGGATGCACGAGAGCGGCGACGACGAGAGCGATGAGGACGAGGACGACGCGGATGGGGGGCGAGAGCCCGACGGGTCACCTCCTGGAGCCCTCCTGAAACAGCGGAGCTGGGCGCTGTGGGGGCCGTCCTGGGGCTCCTCGGGGCCCCTCTTGATGAGAAGCCCGTCAGGAGGCGAAAACGGCGAGCAGACAACCTACGTCGAGCACCTTCAGGTTTCAATGCTCTCTGGCCTCGGGCAGCACGCGGCACGCCCCCGCCACGAGACCGCGACGCGACGGCCCTGCTCTCGGCCCACGCGCCCGGGGCGCTGCCTGCTGCGGGGGGCCGACTGGCGGGGGAGGCGAGGAGCAGTGCACCCTTCGTGCACGGGGCCCCTCTGGGGCCCCCTCCTCCGGCAGCCCTCGATCCCCCCCTACCCACTGATCCCCCCCATCCCCCTTGCTCCCCCCCTCCCCTCCCTCTCCCTCCCTCTTGATCCCCTCCCCCCCCCCCCTCTGGATCCCCTCCTCCCCTCGATCCCCCTTGATCCCCCTTGATCCCCCTCGATCCCCCTGGAACCCCCCCCCCCTCCCCGTCCTCCCCCGACGAGCGCCCCCCCGCCACGCATAACGCCCTTCCCTTGGGGGCCCCGCTCCTGGGGGGGCGGGGCGGGCCGCCGGGCCCCCCCCATCGGAGCCCCGCGGGGCGGGCGGTCGTGGGCCGAGGCGCCCTCCGCGCTGGTTTCGACGAGGAGGAGGGAGGAGGGAGGAGGAGGAGGAGGAGGAGGAGGAGGAGGAGGAGGAGGAGGAGAGGAGGAGGAGGAGGAGGAGGAGGAGGAGGAGGAGGAGGAGGAGGAGGAGGAGGAGGAGGAGGAGGAGGGGGAGGAGGAGGAGGAGGAGGAGGAGGAGGAGGAGGAGGAGGAGCAATACGAGGAGGAGGAGGAGCAATACGGGGAGGAGCGAGGCCCTCCGAGGGTGGGTGCCAGCCGAGAGGAGCCCCCCCCCCCCATGAGCTCCTCCCCCCCCTCCCTGGCGCTTGGGGGCTGCGGCCAGGGTGTCTGCGCTGCACGGGCCCCGAGGACAACATCTTTCGGGAGAGGGGAGCGGGGGCAGATCCGCCCAGAATCGGTCCCCGGACCCCTCCCAGGGGCTCGAAAAGGATCAGTTCGTCGAGCCGCGTCCAGCCCTGGCGACGGGCCCCCTCCCAGCCGGCTCCAACCCAACGCTGCCGCTGAAGGGCGCATACCCTGGGCCGAGCTCCACCGTCTTCGGGGGCGTCCAGCGACGACGGTGCCGTACGCTCTTCTCGCAGAAGTCCCTCAACCAAAGCCCGAAACTCGAATAATCACAACTGCATGCAATGTTTTGAAGCTCCGCGCGGATTTCTTGGGTCGTCGCTGGGCCCCCCTGGCACCTCCAGCGGCGAGAGAAGTTTTTTTTCAAAGGCACCCTGCGGCATCATGCGCCTGTCGAGGGAGCTGCTGGGCAGTGTGGGGAGGGGCAGCTCCGCGCAGGAGCGGGCTCTTCGAGGTTGGCGGCATTCGGAGGGGGCGAGAGCGGGGACCAGGAGATGTGCGGCTGGCCCCCCCACGTTAGAGCGACAGCTCCAGCCCCCGAGCGTCAACTCCAGCCTTCCTGCAGCGCCCACCTGCGCGCAAGAAACCTGCCCCCCCCCCCCCCCCCCCACACACACCGCCCGCTCTGGCGGCACATCTCCGTGGCCGTGCGTGGGGGCCCGAACTTCCTCCCACCCACCCTGGACATGGGGGGGCAACAGGGTACCAATACCGCTATTGCCCGGACCTCTCACGGAACGCGTTCCGAGCAGAACTTCGAGGCGAATCTAGCCGTGGCAACGACGAGGGAAGGGTAGCGGTATCGGTCATAGCTTCCCCTTCTTAGGACAAGCGCCCCACCCAGAAGATAATGTCATTCCATACCGTTGCTCGTCCACCGACTATATCCACTATATCCGCCACCGTGCCTCTGGGTACTCCAGATTTCGTAATAAAAGGGAGGGGGTCTGGACCCTCCAAGACAAGCCATTTCAGACCTCCCCCGTGGGATAACCCTCCAAAACATCGTCCCCAGGGGGCCCCCAGGCCCTCCAAGATAGCCTGGAAGAGACCCCCCCCCGAAATGAGACCCCCCTCCCTCTATTACGAACTCTGGAGTACGGAGTGGGCGTATCCTCAAGTCCTTCGCCTAATCCTCTATGCCTTAATCCTTACTCCTGGGGAGACTTGCAAATCGCCAAATCTCCCGGGGCTTCCCGCGTGTTCCCTGGGGCTGCCCGCGTGCCCCTGGGCTCTGGGAAGTGGCTTTCCGAATAGATGTGTCGGGCCCCAGAAGGCCCCACGACGGGCCAAGAGGACCCCACGAGGCCGCCAAGACGGTCCAGCAAGGCCCCGAGACGCCCAAAGATCGGCCCAAGACGCTCAAGATGGCCCAAGAGGCCTCCAAGGCGCCCCAAGAGGCCTCCAAGAGGCCTCCCAAGAGAGCCTCACGAGGCAAACATCATTGGTGTTCCATATTTGTTTGACGGGTTTTGGCGTTCTCGCCTTCTCGGCTTTCCGACGCTCCAAGACGGCCCAAGAGGCTCTCACGACCACCCCAAAACATTCCAAGATGCCTCCAAGAGGGCCCCAAGACGGTCTAAGAGCGCCCCAGAACGGCCCACGAGGCGCCCAAGACGGCCGAAAAAGGGGCCCCAAAGAGTGAACACGAACCGAACATCCAGCCTTCCGTTCCAAGATGCCTCCAGGAGGCCCCAAGAGACGCCAGGGATGCCACAACAGGCCCCGGCAAGGCCCCAAAGAAGCCCCAAGAGGCCCCGAAGAGGCCCAGAAGAGGCCCCCAAGAAACCCCTACGAGGCCCCCGAACGGCTCCCAAGAGGCCTCCAAACTGCCTCCAAGACGCCTCCCGCGAGATCCCAACGAACATCCACTAGGCTTCACACCCACGACCCAGGCACGGCGGCGGGATTGGCCGAAGGCCATTCGATAACGTCCACGCCCAGCCCCCTCGAATCCCCCCTTCCCTCGGGAGGTCGCCCCAGCTGCGGCCTCCAGGCCAGTGCTCGGGGTATGTACAACCGCGGCCCCGTGCGGAGCAGAGCGCGCAGCGCGCTGATCTACGCGCCTTCGAACCTGACATGGCCTCCAGATGGGTTCAAGTACGCGGCAAGTTCATGTCGAGGCGACCCTGGCGTCGATTACTGACACCGCGTGGATCGTTCAACCTCGCACGATCGGCGGCTCTTCGATCCCCAGGTCGCTCCAGATCGGCCGACTCTGGTCCTCTGGCGGCGTTGAACCTCCAACGCCCGCGGCGACGTCGCCGCACGTCGACACGACGCGCATCTGCTGTACCCACCCTCTCCTCGGAGTCGGCCAGGGGGTCTGAACTGGTTGGGACCCCAGAAAAGCGGCCACGAGGTGGTGAAGGCGCCAGATCCCCTCAGAATCTATCCCCAGACTCCTCCCTGGGTCCCTCGGGAGCAGTTTTTCACCCCGAATGCGCTATTGACAGTCCCAGGGCCCGAAAACGGCACCGCGAGGCCGACAAAAGGGCAACGCACCTTTCCGAACCCAAGACCTCGAACCTCGCCCCGCCGCTTCCCGCTGGGCAGAACCAGTGCTGGGCCACCTCCGACACCCAGCTGGCTCGACTCCGTCCTGACCCTTGCCCAGCCCTTTGGGCTTTCGGTTATCTGCCGCGCGAGGGGCGGCAGCGCCTGCGCCTGCGGCGCGCGGGGCGTCTTGTGCGCCCGCGAGGAGGTGGCACCCTGAGGTCTGGCGGGAGGCAGTACAACTGCTGGTCGCGTGTCCCGTGGCGCTGTGCTCGGCTACACGCAGGAGTGACCCCGAGCATACGCAGAAGGCATCTGTACACCAACACCGTGTCAAGGCATAGACCATCCTGGGGCCCAGGATGGCCCTGGCCTGGCGCGGCGGTGGTGTATAGATGCCTTCGTCAGAAAGTAGGAGTGGCCTTGGGTGCGCGGCTGCCGAATCGTTGCGCGCGATGCAGCAGTAGCGGCCTGCTTGCTTGAGTTTGGTCCCACCGGGGCCCCGACAGCCGCGCACCGAAGTTCACTCTTTCGAGAGGTGGCCACTCTCACGTGTAGCCGATGTGTTTGTGTGCGCAACTGGGCGCGGCCGCCGCTGCATCTAGCCAAGGCCTCGTCAGCCTCTCGGCAGCACCTCGCACAAGCTCCGGAGCCCCCTCACCGTGGCGCAGGCCCGCAGATCTTCCCAGGAACTCGCGCCCGAAGGCACCGTCGCAAAGAACACGAACACCATGACCGTGGCAAAGGCCAGCTGCACGAGCCCGCCCCACAGGAGCGCGTACGCAGCGTAGAGGCAGCACTGGCAGAACATCGCAAGGTTGCACCACCTTTCGGGGTGTTGTCAAACGTGCCGCTGGCCCAGGGTGCCCCCCAGAGCTCCAGAGAGAGCCTCGGGGCCCCTTCGAGGCCTCCCCTGGGCGACTCCGAGGCTGCCGGGACCGCCCCAGGGACACCCCCGGGTCAGGAGGCCCTGTTTGCCCGAGCTCCGAAGTCGTGGAAAGGTCGCGGCGTCGTGAGAAAGAACGACTGGAGCCCTGGACCCCATCCCCGTGCGGGCTCTCTCGAGCCCGCTCCCTCCGCGAGGGTCCCGGGGACCCGAAGCAGCGGCAGCGCAACACCTGCCTGGCCATCGCTCGGACGTCCATTCCCTGTGCTTTTTTCGATCTCGTGCGATGTGCTTTTTCCGGTCCTCGCCGAAAGAGAAATGCACACGTCCGAGCGATGCCAAGCTGCCGTGCGACTCTTCCACGAAACTCGGGAGCGGCCAAGAGGGGGGTGTCCAAGAGGGGGGGGTGCAAATCATGACCGGCGGCACGTGCGCGGCCCAGCGGGGGGGGCCAGGGACGTAATGAAATAAGAAGAGGCGCCATGAAATCTGGGGAAATATCATGGCCCTCGCCATAATATCCACCCCCCCCTAGTCATCACCCCCCTCTTTTCCGCCCCCGAGAAACGCTGGGCGCTCCGACGGGCAGCCCGGGGCCTCTTGGTCAAGCGGAGGCCGCTCGCCGCTGCGGCGGTCCCCGCGCCACGCCGCCTGCGGGCCTGGTTGGCGTCGCGCAGTGGAGGACCAGGAGGCAACTTCTAGGAGGTCTTCGCAGGAAGGATCAAAGGCTCTCGGCCCCATTGAAGGGGCTCTCGGCCCCATTGAAGGACTAGGAGGCAACTTCTAGGAGGTCTTCGCAGGAAGGATCAGAGGCTCTCCGCCCCATTGAAGGGGCCATGGAGCCACATTCGCCCCGACGAAGCCCAGACTGACGCCAGACCAGGCGGGATCAGGCCGGACTGCAGAGGATTATGATGCTGCATTGGGCTGGCTTTCGACAATGGATATACCAGCGCCGACGCTGAAACTCCCGGGAGCTACATCCAAATAAAGGGGGGCGGGGCGAGAGGTGGGGGGCCCACTGAGAAGGCAGGGGGGTTCTTAGAAGGGATCGGCCCGTCTCGGGAATTTTCTTGACGTGTGTCGGTCCCATCTCATAACCGAGCTTCGCTGAAGGCAGGAGGGCCTCTGGAAGATGCGGGGCGCCTTCTTACCGAAGCCCCCTCCTCGCCCCGCACCCTACCAAGTTTCGCTCAAAACTGGTTCCCGCATCCATCCTGGGGCCATCCTGGCAAATTATCCTGGCCGCGCCTAGCCGTGGCGAGCGAAGGACGAGGAGGACAGAGGACACACCAAGAGCGTAAGCATACGGTGGGGGCGTTCGATGGGAAGCAGTTGATAAATATTCCAGAGTCTGGAAGCCGGTGGAACTCCAATCGTGGATTGGCCATGGGTGTCACCGCCGCCCTCATCAGATAAGGAACCCTCCAAGGTCTACAGCCTCCTGGGCACATTCCCTTAACGAGCGCCCACACCGTACCTGAACGAAGGTCCGCGCGGCGTTCTTGGGTCGGCGCTGCAGCCCTCTCCCCGCATCCCTGCTCCCACGCGCGGAGCGCGCCTGGCGCTGCGACAAGGGCGCAGCCCAGGGTGCGGTGAGGGCGTCCAGCCCTGCTCCGAGAACTCCGCGCGGCCCTCGGAGACAATTTGTCCTGGGTGCCTGTTCCTCGTTTTGAGTCCGTGGCGCCCCGCGCCCTCCCCTCACATCCTGTCGCGTTTCGTGGCCCCTATGCTGCAGGAGCTCCACCGAAGGCCCCAATGTGCGCGAGAGCACAACGGTGCCGCCTCACCATTTCGGGACGCCTCTCACACGTTTCGTGGTCCCATCGGGGACACGGAAGACTCGGGCGCGGGGGACTCGGGTTGGCCTAACGGGGCCTTCATGAGAATGACGAGACCCAGTCTGAAATTTCACGCGAGCTCCCGCTGCAAACATCTTACGAAAACTGGACCGTCAAATTCCGAGGCCGGGCTCGTCCAAAAACGAAGGCGAACCCGAGCTCCCACGTACTCGAGTCTTACGTGGGAACAAGGAAAGGCGACACCAACACCAGCAGGGCGAGGAGGTGCGAGGAGGCAAGGGGAGTCTCCCTGGTGGTGTGGTCCCCCCCCTCTCGCTCGAGACATCCCAAGCATCCAGCTCGGGGAAGCATCGTGGACCTCCTCGCCGGAGGCGGGCCCCCTGGTGGTGTTGGTATCGCTTCTCCTCCCTCCGGCTTGCGCTTCCCCGAAAGGAGCGCCACCGAATGCTCTGCTGGGTCGTGGCTCATGGCGCCACGGCCCCACTTCGGCACATCCTCGCACGGGTCGTGCCCCTCACCTGCGCTCCCAACTGGGCGCGCCCGCACGGCACCCCCGCCCCTCCTTGCGGCGCGCCCCTCGCACGCTTCGTGCCGTGCTGCAGCCCTCTTGGAACTCTCCTGGGTCATCCTGGGCTGTCCTGGGGGGGTCGGCGGAAGCCCTTCTCTGATATCACCCATCGGTCGGAAGAAGTAGGTAGAGGCATGAAATGGGGAAACGTTGAAAATAGACTGGGTTTCGTCCGCCCCCTCAGGATGACGGAAAAGGTGAAGCCACTCGATCATTGAAGTAGGAAGACGCTTAAAGTAGATTGGAATCTGGGAATCCAAACATACCTACTTTCAACGACCGATGGGTGCGGTGGACGTGAGCGCAGCTGGAACGCTCCCATCGGCCGTAAGTGGAGCTCCCTCAGGGGCCCGAAATATATGAGGCCGACATACGGTTGACCTCGCTGGGGCCGTATCCTTATAAAAGGGGACGCGAAACGTGTGAGCAGCGTGCCGAAATGTGACGGTGCCGCCATACGGACGACATTGCTGGAACCGTGGGTGGAACGAAACACGTGATGGATGCTCCGAAATGAGGCGGTGCCGCCGTACTGGCGATTGGAACCATTTTTGACTCCGGGCGCGGACGACTGCACGCGCTGCGGCCCTGCCGAGGGCCGCCTTGGCCCTAACTCGAGCCCCTTTTTGAGGCGACTAGACGCGTGACGCTTGTGCCGAAATGAGACGGTGCCGTCATGCGGGCGAGCCCACTGGGCCCTGACGTGGGGCTCCCTCTATAGGCACGAGACGTGTGTGGTGTGCCGAAGTCAGGCGGTACTGCCATGCGGTTGACCTCGCTGGGGCCCTAGGCGAATCCCAATTGTTATGACGCAGCGAAGCGTGAGGGGTGTCCCGGAATGCAGCGGTGTGACGGGGAGGAGGAAGAGGAGGAGGAGGAGGAGGAGGAGGAGGAGGAAGAGGAGGAGGAGGAGCAGGAGGAAGAGGGGGGTGATGATGAGGAATAGGAGGAGGAGGAGGAGGAGGCGGAGGAGGAGGAGGAGGAGGAGGAGAAGGAGGAGGACGAGGAGGAGGAGGAGGAGGAGGAAAAGGAGGTGGAGGAGGAGGAGGAGGAGGAGGAGGATCGGCGCACCGAGGGGGCGCGGTCGTGGCCAGAGGCACGCCGCGGCCCTTGTGACCGAGCCTCTTACATCGGGCGTGCACGCTCGGCTCTGCAGGCTTTGAGGGGCCCCTGAGGGCCAACCCTTGGCCGAAACATTCGGGGGCCGACGATTGGCCAACCTGCGCAACGCCTCCCGCCCACTGTCAGTGCCCACACCACCTGGACAAAGGGGCGGGGAATTGGTTAAGCCTGCCACCTCCAGTGCTCGTGCAACTGCCGAGCCTCGCACACCTCGTACACCAAAACTGACCATTCATGATTTGCACCGAATGAGTCGGGTGTACCGTCTTACCTCCAACTGTAAGAGAGGGGTATGCAGAGGGCGGAATCGGAAGAGGCACGTTCTAGCATGAAACAAACGCTCTTCCCTTACACGGGTGATATGGCATCAAGCTTTCAGCGGCCTCTCGTGTTGGGCCAAGCTTACAATGAAAACAAAACCAGCGTTTGTTTGTCCTTCGGGTGTTGCTGCATGCAGTGGCCCGTGGCACTCTCGAGCACCTGCTGCACCGCAACTATCTTCACAGGCCTGTGGCGATTCTTCGCAACCCGAGGACGCTGGTGCTTGACCCGATGCAACGAGTTAACAGCCGTGGCTACCGCAACCAGGCGCTTATGGACCCGTTGCAGGAGAGCTTCATAGTCCTTCAAAGAATCTAATTGGGGCTGAATCAGGTTCAGGGCTTTCGCAAGGCCTCTCTGGGCCAGAGCGTCGGCTCTTTCATTGCCGAAAGAACCATACCAGGGCTGGGAGGCAAACCTTAGGCTCACGGCGTCAAGGTGAGAGTTGCATTTCTTCACGCTGACGTTGGGGATCCTGTCGGGCCTCTGGAGGATAGCCTGCTTGAAACGCTGCCACCACTGCAGATGGCCTCGAGGATAGAGCCACATTCTGGAGTTCCAACCGCGGTGAACCAAAGCGTTGTCGGTCCAGATCTCGAGGGGCCCCTGGGTGTAGAGGAGACAGTAGTACAAAGCAACCACTTCAGCACAAGGAACCGTTTGTTGACCATCGATGGAACCGTCGAGCCCTGGGAATCGATCCTCGACTGGAGCCTCGTTAAAGTCGTGGGCAAGCCCATCCACCACGGGCGATACGACCGTCCGCTGAATTCACCGAGCCGTCGAGGTAGGCCCTGTGGGCCTGAATCGGGCTACCACTGATGCCGGGGTAGCCCTCAAACATCGGGACCTGGGCGGGCATGCCAACATCGTAGACGGTCTGGGTTTCATTTCACTCGGGAGCCTCTGGGAACTCGTTGAGCATTCCTTGCGGGCAAGATACCTCTGCACCACAACATTTTCATGTCGGGCTCGTCACTCATGGATTGGACGGCTCTTTTCTTGAGGTCCTGGGTGCGGCGGATCCAGTCATGGTCGATGCCATCATGTTTCTCGCACTGGTAGCATCTGCGCAGCAAGTCCTCAGCTGCCATTCCACAGCGCGGGCACAAGGCTGGACAGTCGCAGCCCGCGGTGGAGGTGCGCTGAGCAGTCCAGCAACTGCCTGTGGCGATGTTCTCCAAGGCTCCAGCCCCCTTGAATAATTTCTTGCGCCTCATCCAGCGCAAGGTGCGCTGCGTCGCTTGTAGAAGTCCACCTTGCTCGCAACCGAAATATTCAGGGTGTTGGCCAGCTTGCTTCCACGGGCCGTCTGTGATTCGAGCGTGAACTACATCGAAGAGAGAATTCATGTCGGTGTCGTCGGGGTTGTAGGTCCACTCGTTGCCATCAGGGTCCGCCCAGCGATCGGGGTGACGGAGCTGCCATCCGATCTCGCCCATGCCGACGACCAGGGCGCCCATAGGTCCTGTGACCGAGCGCCATTTGGACTTGACACGAACCTTGGCCATCTTGTCAAAAACGGCCTGCCATCCGAGTCGCGCGCGTACATGGCATTGCGGCTGCTGCTGCCAGAAGGTGAACCATTTCGTGATCTGGCGTCTCAAATTGAAAGAGAGCGGGCCCTGCTTGTCGTAGATGTGGGGCATGGTGGTAGAGGCGCATCTGCCGCCCACCGTGAATTCTGCCATGGTAGCTGCCGTGGCTCGTTCTTGCTTGACTCTAATAGCTGGGGGTCCCATGATCGAGGCGTCGTAGATCCGTTTGGCTCGAAGGTTGGCGGCGTAGAGTCTCGCTGTACCTTTCCGCCCCACTCCAGGGGGATGAGGATGAAGAAGGAGAGGAGAGGAGGCATAGGAGGGAGGAGGGGAGGGGGAGGAGGAGGAGGAGGAGGAGGAGGACGCGGCTGAATAGCAATCCATTCGTCGTGCCAGTGGGGACTCACGCGTATTTGCGCATCATGCATATTTGCGTACACATTCACGCCACTACGCATCGCGCTGCTCGCGCACGCGCAGAAGAAGGGACCGAGAGGAACCGACGAAGGCCGGGTCCAGGGGGCCAGAATCGAGGAGGACTGAAGAGCTCGAGGGGCGGCGAAAGGGGGGGGGGACAAACGGGCGAGCGAAGGCCGAAAGTAGCATGCCCAAATCGCGATCACCGCTACTGCCCACTGTCCTCGGCTAGCCACTCCCTCATTTATGCCCCGTGCCATGGCGGCGCTGCTGAGCTCGAGGGCTCAGCGCTGCGCGCGGCTGCGCGTCGAAACATTGCAGGTCGTCCTACAGATGCCGCAAACTCCCACCAGGACGTAGGTTTCCCCCCATGGTGCATGGCCACAGGCCAAGACATTGATTAGGGCAGTACCCGCCGAGGGGCGGGGTAGCAGTCGCCATCTGCCAAGAGAGACCCCCGCCAGTGAAATGCGAAAGCTGGCGCCCCCGCCCAAGGTGCATGGCCGCAGGCCAAGACATCAGGGCGTCACCCGCCGAGGGGGTCGCCCAATCGCCAGTTGCCGAGAGAAGGAGAAAGCGAGAGTGCGAGAGAGAGAGAGAGAGAATACTAGAAAGAGAGAGAGAGAGAGAGAGAGAGAGAGAGAGAGAGAGAGAAAGAAAGAAAGAAGAAAAAGAGAGAGACCCCCGCCAACTTGACATCGCAGCGCCTGCCAGTAGAGACCCCACCAACGTAGAGATATCATTATACGGTGGGCACTGAAAGACTCCCACCAACATCGAACTATCGCTGCCAGCCAGAAAGGCACCCACCAAGCATTGAAATATCATAGCTTACACAGACAAGCCCTCCACCCTGCCCCCCCCCGCTGGGGTGCATGGCGAGTGGTCAGAACATTAGGGCGGCGCCTGCCGAGGGGGGGGGCGCCACCGTCAGCCCACAGAGTATGGGCGGTCTCGTAAATTACCGGTGCCGTTCGCGACTTCAAGAACGTCGGCCCAGGCCCAGTTGGACAACTATTCTTCTATGTGCCTGGGCGGGGCGGAGCCAGCAGTGGCGACGCAGCCCAGGGCCCTGAACGAGTCGTGCAGCGCGTTCTCCATGGATTGGTCGGCGACAGAGAACGCGATCATGATCGCGCCCTGTTGGCGGCAGTTCTCGAGTCGGCGGCGCCTCGCGAAGTCGGGCGGGTCGCCCGCCGTCGCCGTCGCCCGCGCCTCGGAAGTCTGCCTATTGACCCGCCCGATTTGTTCTTGCGCCAGCGCCTCGACCATCGCCGCAAAGACCGTGGGCGTGGGTGGCCCCAGCTCGCGCAGCTCCCTGAGAGTTGCCACGGCGTCCGCGTCCACCATTGCCTCGGCCTGCTTGTCCTTGTCAATGTCCTTGTTCGCCTTCGCCTCGTCCTTGAGCCCGGCGATCTTCGTCGTCTGCTCGGCCCCCGCGGCGCAGGCGCGGCCCGCCCCCTGCGCGGCCTCCGCGACTCCGCGGGCCTCCTCCGCGATCACCGTCTCCGTCAGCACCCCCCGCGTGGCACGGCTACGCTGTGTGAGCTGGGCCACCTGGGTCGCCGCCAGCAGCGAGAGCTCGCGCGGGCCGCTGTCCTCGGTCGTCAGCTACCACTTCCAGTCGCCTCCTCGGCGCCATGTTCCTTCTCTCCTCGTGGCCATCGCCTCTGCGGCCGCCCCCTCGCTGCCCGCGGCGCCGCGAGCGACTGCGCTCCCTTCCTGCGGTCGTCGGGCTTGAACTCTCGATCGCTTGTCGCTGGCTGCCGAGAAGGCGCCCCCCTTTCAGCGCGGGGCTCGACCGCCGCAATCGGTGGAACTGCCTGCCGGGCGGCAGGCGGGGGCGCAGGTGGCTGTGGAACGTTGGAAAAGACGAGCGCGCGAAACCACGTGCTGTGCAGCTGGGGTCTCTGAACGCATCTGGGTCGACCGTGTCGTTGCGAATGCAACGCCCAACGTGCCGCGCCCGTGTTGAGTACCGCGCAGCTTCCGTGAGATTATGGCATGTGTTGCCGCAATTGATACGCGCGTTCGCGGGCGCGACAATCTGAACACTGTTACTTCATCTATGTCCCCCCATTGAATATGTGTGACGTGCGTAATCAGGACTGACCGTGCCCTGAACGGCGCCCCGAAATTCGCACCGTCCCCCGTGGCGATGGTGCGTGTGAAAGACGGAGATGGATTTCCCGGCCTTTCCCCGCATTCGAGCACCGCAAGTACAGTGCCCGCCAACGACGCAACAAGGGCTTCCACGCAGTCGGAGTAACGGCCGTCCGCAAGGAGCGCGGAAAGCCCATAGAGCAGCGGTTCACGTCCTTGCCTCAGAGCAACTCCTGGAGATCGCCACTCCAGGCTGCCGCAACGCCCCGAGCCTCGGGGGCGATCTGCATATCGCGCTTGTATTGTGCCGGCCACGGCTGCGCATCAATATCATCATTTATATCTCCTGCCGGGCATAAGTGCCGCAGGGCGCGCGTGCTCAGCCCCCAGTTCCCGCCGCGTGATGAGCGTCGAAGCGCGCCGACAAGAAGTGCGCGTGAATCGCGGGGTCGCGGATCACACTCTGACGCGCTTTCGGCCTCTGGGCAATCGTCTTGCGCGCGAAAAGCACCGGCTGCCAGTGGCGGCGCGCCTCCCGAGACGTATGCGAGCGCGCCTGATCGTCATATAGAGTAGCTGTCCCGCCCATCATCGAGTACGATTTCCCCATCGGAGATGAGCAGATCGCGCGGCGCTCAACCGCATACCAAAACGTCGAGGTCGCACCTGAAAGGCCAGCGCCCACTGACCAGCGAGTTGAACATCAACCTCTTCGCCCTGGGCGCGGCGTTGTAGCGCCAAACGTTTTCGGGAGGAGAAAAACGTTCAAGCCCAGATGCGAATGCAACCAGGGGTGCGCCCAGTGCCCTTGCGTTGTGCCGAGGGCGCGGCGCGCTCGAGCCACGCCCCCAACCGCGTTCAGCCCACCCCGCCGCCATCATTTGCAACTCGGAGATTGTGCGAACGATCCCTGAAATACAATTTGACATCCCTGACCCCGTAACTCCATCCGACCATCCCTTCGTTTTCCATGCCCCCTCACCCTTGACCCCTCCTCGCCCCCTTCACCCCCCATCCTCCCGCCGCGCCCGCGACGGGGGGGGTGGACGGCGGGTCGAGGGGCTTCGGACTGGCCGGGGGGGCGGCGCATGCCGCGAGTAAATTTACTCCCGCGGGGGAAACCTACATGTGCGACCCCGGGTGAACCCCTCGGAAAATTATATGCGCAACCTCAGATGAAGGTTCCACCAAACATCGAAAAACAACACACGTAACATGTGCAAGCAAACATGAAGGTTTGTGGAACAACGAGATGAGTACAACCTGGGGTGAAGGTCCCGCTGAGTAAATTCACTCCAGCGAACGCTTGCGCGGGCACCGACAGCTGATAACGCCGCAGCGCCCCAGAAAAAACCAGATCACACGCTACGTCCTGATTGTTTCCTGGGCGCAGCCCCGCGCGGCGGGACTTCAATTTCGACCAGCCGAACCTGGCCTGGGCAAGCGCAAATCAATCCCGCGCCTCCGAAGCAACCATGCGCGGAAGGCCGCGCAAGACAACCGCGCACAAAACGCGTCGTGGCCGCAAGAACGCGCCGCTCGGGTCGGCGCGCAGAAACGTAGCGCACACGGGAACGGCATGCGCCATTTCCAAAGGGTACACATTCACCCCAGGTTGCATTCGCAGCTGGGGTTGAACGTTTTTGGCTCTCTGACGTTTGGCCATCTGCCAGCCGCGTCTGCGCGCTTGGATCCTGGCCTCGAGCGCGTCAGCGTTGCTGCCCGCCGCGTTGAACCAGGCCGCCGGGCGCTTCAGCTTGTGCCCCGCCAGGCAGCCATCTCCCCAGGGCTGAGATAACTTCTCGCGTCGAGTGGCGGGCGCGGAACGCGGGTGCCGCGTCTTGCCTCGCCCTCTTCCGGTCGCGAGCTATAGCCGCCGACGCCTGGTCCAAGTGCTTGCCTTGTCTTTCTGAAGCCGCGGCGATGTCTGTCGCGCGTGCCATCTTTCGGTGCGAGCATCGCATCGAGGACATCACCCATAAAGGTGCCCATGATAGTTGCGCGTGAATCTCTGGCCCCGACGCGTCTCCCATGAATCCTTCGCTGCCGCTGCGTGCTGCAAATCTCCTGCCCTCTGCGTCGATGATGACTGCGAGCGTCTATCACCGTGATCGAGTGATGCGGGCGACGAAGCGAAAGTCATCATCGGCGGTCATCTCGTTCGAAAACAGCCGATCGTATGCCCCCTATTCCAATTGTTTTTTTTCCTGCCGCGCGCGACGGCATTCGTCGCTTGCGCAAGATCAGCTGACCGTCGTGGGCGCCCTTCCACGCCGCGATCTCCGTCGCAATCATCGGGCGCTCGCGCCTCCGACCTCGGAGAGCAAAAAGCCTGCGTCCGTGGCCTGCGCGGGCGTCCGCGCAGCAGCTGGCCCGTGGCGCGCGCTCTCCACCGCGGGCGCATTGCGCGGGGCAGTGGTGGCCCCGCTGGCCCAAGCGCGCCGTCCTTCATGTCTTGCGCGAGCCCGCTGGGGGGCGAGGCCTGGCCTCGGCGCGGCGCGCGTGCATTGTGAATCTGAATCATCGGCGAGCCGCTTTGCCGCGCCTTCCAAGCTCTTGGAGCTGGTTCTTCTCGCGCGGGTCGGGGGCCGCCGGTTCCTCGCGCCAAATAGCTGCGCGTCGGGCCCCCGGCCCCGCGCTTTGCTGGGGGGGCTGGCCTGCGCTGGGTTGGGCAGCGCCCCAAACTCCAACGAGATGCCGACCGCGCCGGTGCGAACCGACCAAGTTTTGACTTTCTGATCGCCTTCGCTGTCATCTCGAAGTCCTTGCGTGCTGCCTGGCGTAAATATGCCGTGGCGTCGTTGTTGTCGAGGTGGGCGCGCTCGTCGATTCCCCCCAGCTGCTCGCAGCGCATGTCCGACGCCTCGGCGCGCCTGGGGGGGGGGTCTCGCCCGCCGAGCCCCGTCGGAACGGCGGCCTCGCCGAGAACTGGGCCCGCTCCTTCGCCGACGGCGAGAAAAACGGGTCGGCGCGGTAGCTCCTGTTCTTGATGCCGATGCCTGTGCCGGCCGCCTTTCTCGAGGGCCGATGGGGCAGCCGCCGCGTCGCGAGCCCGCCGCTTCAGCGCCGGCCCCCGCTGGTTAACCTCCTTCCTCTCGTGCAAGATGCGCCGGCGGTGGGGCATCAGCACCTTCGCGTGCGCTTTGATCGCTGGGGTGAGCTCCGCCGCGTCCGACGCCCAATTGGTTTTCCCCGCCGCGTCCTGCTCCGTCACCTGCGTGAGCGGCTGCCTCCTTTCCTTCGGCATCTTCCAGTTCTCCTGGCCCGTCGCCCCACGCTGCGCGTTCCCCGCCTTGCCCTGGGAAGAACGGTGGGGGCCAACAGTGCGGATCATGGTATCAGGAGGGCCGCGTGCCCTGCGGTCACCTCACGGCTCTCCAAGATCACGAACGACTGGCGGTGCGTCTCCAGCATATCCTGAAATTCCGCCAGGAATTCCTGTCCCAAAGCCAATGAATGCCGCTTTGCCCGGCTTCGTGCGATCCCAACTCTCTATCCGCGGAGCGAGGGCCACAGGCGGCACCATCTTCATCATCATGATGAAAGAATGTGGTCCAGCGCCGCGGTCGTCGAACGGCCCTCCTGGGCCGACCTCCTCCGCGTCGTGGCCACCTCGCCATGCGCGAGGGCTCGCGGGGATGCGCGCGTAGTCGATTTGGCTTGCCCAGCTCGAGCCCTCGAACGTGTTGCCACGGGGGTAGGATGTACTGAACGACACAATCCCCGCAAAGCCGATCCAATCATGCACCGCCGTTCCGCATCAATTTCCCCATTTCTTTTTATACGTTTTAACGGCCACCGAACCCACCTTGGCACTGGGTCCCGAATTGAGATCCATGCTTATCACGGGCGTGAGCCTCTTTGGAATCTTGAAGCATGCGGACTTGGCCGACTCAGCGACTGCTCGCACGCTTCACGATATATGTGGGGGCTTTGCTCGGTTAGGGCGGGAACTTTAGAGCCATCATCGCTGTCATCAAAAAACCCCAAGCTTCGACTCAACCACTCCCTCCGCGCCCACGGGCGCCAGCATACGTATTCGGTATCTTTCTTCGCGAACCACGTCGTGTTGATCAGCACCGCGCATCCGCAAGCCTTCATGACGAGGCGGTTCCGAATCCCAAACTGAATCATGTGGTGGTACGTGGCAATGGAACTCAAATCCTTAGTAGTTCAATCACTCTCATATTCTTGATTACAGATGAAAGATCCTCCCATCAGTACGGGGTCACCAGCGTGTGCGGGTTACAGGAATACAGAAAGCTCCACTGCTCGTCGTGGCCGTAGGGAAGCTGCACCACGAGGAGGAGCGCAATCTTGATCATGCCCACCACGCCCGAGCTTCAGCGTGCCCGCCACTCCACCACCACACCAAGGGGGCCGGCACTTAGGCGGTCAGCGCCCGCGCCAGGCGACGGCTGCCCCCATCGCCGCGAGGTGTTCCTCGGGAGGGCCGCCTCTGAAGGGGTGGGCCTGGGCCACATCGGCGATTGAGAATGAAGAGGGGGAGGAGGACGGGGAGGAAGAGGATAAGGAGGAGGACAAGGAGGAAGACGAGGAGGATCAGGAACACGAGGAGGGCGCGGAGGAGGAGGAGGAGGAGGAGGAGGAGGAAGAGGAGGAGGAGGAGGAGGAGGAGGAGGAGGAGGAGGAGGAGGAGGAGGGGTAGGAGGAGGAGGAGGAGGAGGCGAGGGGAGTCGGGAAGGAGATGGGGCGCGGCGCTGCGGATCCAAGACGAGGACCCGACAATCAGGAGGGTTAGCAACAACAGAGAGTTCGCGGGCATCCATGCTCACCATTGTCATGCGGAAGAGGACGAGGAGCAGACGAAAGATCGATCGTAACTGTAGAGTCCAAGGGGGCACATGTCTAAAGCGTAGCTGCGGACTATGCGCCAATCGGCCCTCAAATGCTGGACGTATTTCTTCGCGGAAGAGGTCACAACCGTCTTACTTGTAAATGTCTGCCTCGACACGAACGTCGTAAGCAAGCTGGTTGCCGCAGATCACGGGTCGGGATAGGGGGAGAGGATCCAGAGGAAAAGGATGATACGATCCATGAGGCCCTCCAGAGGCGCAGGAAGTCTCCAGAGGTCTCCAAAGGTTGCTTATGCCGTTGTTTTTGTTTCGAGGGGGAGAAGCAGGAGGATGAACAGGAGGAACAGGAGGAGTGGGAAAAAAACAAGGAAAAGGAAGAAGATGAAGATGAGGATAAAGGGAGGAGAAGGAGGAGGAGGAGGAGGAGGAGGAACGAACGTCGTTCTGGGGGGGACGTCCATGACACTACGCTTTTCGATCGCGTGCTATCCTGAGACAGTGCAGCACATGATTTGCGCGAGAGCCTACCTAAATAGCCTGGTGGTGAGACACCATGCGCACGAACGACGCAACACCGCCACTAGATCTACATGTCCGGAAGGGCACCCTGACGCAGCAGCTGAGAGTAACTGACGCAAGACCCCCCCCCCTGCGCACCGCCAGCCTGCTCGCACGCCGCGGCGGCCTCCCGGCCGCCCCGCACCTGCGAAGGCGCCGGCCGCGGCGACGCGGAGCCACGACCGGCGGGGCTGCAGGCAGCCCGGCTGTCCAAGGCCGGCGGCGGCGGCGCCGATAACGGCGGCGGCGCCGGGGGCCCGGCCGGCGCCTGGTGCGGAGGCCCGTCGTCTCCCCATCCAAGCGCGCTCGCGTCGGGGAAAAAAAACACGACAAGCAAACTTTGGCTCTGTTCGGCCCCCGTTGGCCTTCGCCGGGCCCCGGGGCCGTCAACAGAACGCCTCGGGATGAAAACCAGCCCTGCGGAAGAGGTCGAGGCCGGTCGCAGACCTCGGACGATAATGAAGTTTTCAATTTTGGATTTTTCCATGGATTTCGGCGTTCGGGGCCGTTCATCGGGCCCAGAATCGTCAAACAAATATCCAGGACGAACCCCAGCGGTCGGGGCCTCCAAGGTTGGGGGGTCAGATCGCAATGGGACGGGGAGCCCCCCCACCGGGAAATAGGTTTCGGTTTCGTGTTGGTGTCGTGCGTGCGGGCGAGGCGACGCTGCGCGGGCGCGCGAGCAGAGTCGGATGCAAAAATCCGGTTTTCCGGTGGGCGCGCGGTGGCTGCGGGTGTCCCGCCGTGGTGTCCCGCGTTGTCCCGATGGTGTCCCGCCGTGTTGTCCCGATGGTGTGTCGTGGTGTCCCGTGGTATCCCGCGGTGTCCCGTGGTGTCCAGTTGTGTCCCGCGATGTCCCGGCGCGGTGTTCCGATGGTGTCCCGATCGATCGTGAAATCGATCGTGGGATCGGTAGTGAGGTCGATAGAGGTCGATAAGTGCATCGGCCGTGCGAGCGGCAGTGATGTCGATAGCGACATCGATAATTGTATCGGTCGTGCAAGTGCACTCGAGTGCGAGATCGACAGTGACATTGACTGTGCGATCGCTTGTGAGCTCAATCGTGACATCGTTTGAGGTCGATACAAATATCGAGTGCTAAATCGGTGATACGGTCGGCCAGGTGAGATCGACTGCGGGATCGATATCGAAATCTGTTTAATGAGATCGGGATCGACCATGACATTAATAGTGAGATCGGCTGGGATATCGATCGCGTGAAATCAGCAGTGAGATCGATCGTGGGATCGGTTAAACGGGCTCTCCTGGCCCCCATCAAAAGAGCGCTCCTCGCAGTGCAGCCGCCGCGGCCAGTGCGATCACCGCCGCGCCCGCTGCGATCATTGCTGCCGCGCCTTTGTGGCCAGAGCAGGCATTGCGCGCGACGCCTGCTTCCATGTGCCATGTCCCCAGACCCCCGACGCCATGATTTTTTCATGACGCGACCCCCGGTCCCGACCCACTCCCCGGGACCAGCTCTTCATCCCGAGTGGTTTTTTGACGGCCCCGAGGCCCGGCGAAGGCCCCCGGAGGCCGAAAATGGCAAAAAACCTCCCGTCGTGATTTTTTCATGACCCGAGGGGGTCTGGGTTCCATGTGCCACGTCTGCGGGCGACGCGCGACTCTTCGACGGCGCTCGCTCGCCGCCGGGCCGCGCCGCTTGGCGCAGAGCGCTTCTGGTGCGCCGATGGCTCCAGAGCGGGCTTCGCGGAGCTCGCCCCAAGCCGCGCAACCCAGACCCCCTTGGGTCATGAAAAAATCACGAAGAAACATTTTTCGCTATTTTCGGCCTCCGGGGGCCCTCGCCGGGCCTCGCGGGACCGTCAAAAACCGCTCGGGATGAAGGGCCGGTCCCGGGGAAGGGGTGGGGGCCTCTGGGGGTCGCGTCATGAAAGAATCATGACGTCGGGGGTCTGGGAATGTAAGGGCGAGGGGACTCAATTGTTCGTCGCTCGGCGCGGGGTGCCGGAGGTGGCGCGCGCGGCGCGGCGTCGCTCCGTAGCCTACTGGGGCAGCGGGGGCATTCGCTGCGCGGGGCAGCACGCGCTGGCGCGCGCTGGCGGGCGCGCTGGTCGAGCTCGCCCGCGACTGGCGCGCGCGGCCGGGCCCGGACGGCCGCGGCCTGCGCCGGGGCGCCGCCGCAGGGCGCGGGCGCATCCCGTTGCGCCTGTGCGCCGGCGTTGGGGCCGAAGCGCCGGAAGACGCGCCGTCCGCATGCGCGCGCGCGGGCCCCGGGGGCCACTCGGAGGGCAACTCTCAGAGGAGGGGCTGGGGCGCTGCAGGATCGACTGCGCAGATCCCGACGCGGGGCCCGGTGGCCCGACGCTACCAATCCTGCCCAAGCTTTCCCGTTTCCGTGCCAGAGCGCGCCTGGGCCGCGCGTCGCGCTCGGCGCGCTGTTCGGTATGCTGGGCGCGAGTTGCGCCGAGGAGACCCGCGCCCCGCGCCGCGCGCGCGGCCTGCGTCGCGCGGGGGCCTCTCCAGGGGCGCTTGGTTCCAAGCGAACTCTCGCGGCCGAGTGCGTGGGCGTCGAGGCCGCGCGCCTCGTGCTGCTTCGCGACCTGGGCCCTCCATGGCTGGGGGGGGCGTGCCCCCTCGCTCTGCCGGGGAGCGGCGCGCTGTCCGCGTGCGCGACGCCGTCGTTCTTGTTCTGGCCCGCCGCGGATGTTGCCAATGCGCTCGGGAATGTGGCGCGCGATCTGCTCGTGGAACATGCGGGGGGCGCGGCGCGCGACTTCTCGAGGGTCGTCGCGCGCCCGCTGTGCCGGCGCGCCGAGACCGCGGGCCAGTCGACGGGCCAAGCGCGCATGGGCGTCGCGCCCGCGTCGCGCCCCGCGGAGAACCGGGCGGGGCGCCCGCCGCGCCGACGGAAGTGTTGCGCGGAGAAGCTGCAGCGCGCGGGGGGCGCGCCAGGCTCTGCGAGCCCCGCTCCGCGCGTTCTCCGCGCCAACTCCTTGCTTGCCGGCCTGGAGGGCGATCCGACGCCGACGCGCGTCCGCGGGCGAGTTGCCGCTGCCGCCTGCCATCGCCGCCGATGCCACCGACCACTGCTGCCTGCAATCGTCGGTGAATCGATTGTGAATTCGGTCGTTCGTTCGTCAGTGGGCCGTCAGCGGCGTCCATCGAGCGACGTCGATTGTGTGATCGATCGAGTGGGGTCGCTTGAGTGGCATCAATCGCGTTTTGGTCGTGTTGCTGGCAGCGAGATCGATGGCGAGATCGACCGCGCCCCGCGTGGCATCAGAGACCGATCGTGAGATCGATGTGCAGAAACGTTCGGCCAGGCGAGTCCATCGTGAGGTTCATCGATGTCGAAGTTGGCAGTGATGTGGTCAGTGGGGTCGATCGCGAGCTCGGTCGTTCGCTGGTCGGTGAATATAAAGCGGGGGCCGAGGCTGGTAGCGTGATCGAGCACATGAGATCCACGGTGCGGCTTTGATATTGCTAATCGCGGGTTTGGTACTGCTATCGGCAGCGAGAGTGTCAGTGATATCGATGAAGTCCCACGAGACATCGGACATTGAAAATGCAACCAAACGACAGACACGTTCAGTCAGGCGATGCCGCGTCTGCCCGCGAGCGCTTCGATGTCACGTCAATGCCGCCAGGATTGGCCCGATAATGACAAGTGCAAGTGGCGCGAAGGTGAGTGGAATGGAACGGTTAATGGAATCGGGCGAGGGAGATGGATGACGCGACCGACAATGACCCCGATAGTGGTATCGGTAATAACGACATCGATCGCAGGCGGCGCGCCCGCCCGCGGGCGACCCGCGGGCGACCCATGCGCCCGCCACTTTCAGTCGCTACGCGGGGGACGCCTAAGGTTCGTGCGAACTTTTTGGTCGCCCCTGCCGCAGAGCCGCTGGTTTGCGCCGAACTATGCTATCGGCGCCGCCTTCGCCGCCGCATCAGTTTGCGGCTCGAGCGCTATTCGAACTTGCCGCGTCGCTCGCGCCGCTCCTCGCCATCGCTGGCCCTGACTATTAGGGGCCAGGTTCTGCCTGCCAACGTCAAAAACGCACAGAGACGCTGCAGAACATTAACAGCGCAACCGCTAAGTTCGCGAGGTGGTATGTGTGGGTCCTCGAACAGAAGGTGATCGACAATTCTTCTTGGTCCACTGGCGAGAAGATCCAGGCGCAAAAAAAATTCAAGTGCGCGCTTGTGTCCAACGCCCCCGATTAGTAGATGCTCGGACTTGTGCCCTTCGACTTCGAGGGCCGCGCTGCAACGGCCAGTGCGTTGTCCAAGTTCGCGGCAATTTCTGTGTGGGAGCTGACCACTCCTGGTGTTGACGGCATGGCCAAGCAGAAGTACAACGGATGCCCTTTAAAGCCAGTGGTTTTGCTTTCTCAACCAGAAAAGCCACGATAATGCTGCCTGCGAGTCCGGATATGCTGGCGCGTCCCTCCATGGGCATCCATGTCGCGCTGGACATCAGGGGCACCGCCTGCCTTCTGAAGGCCAGCGCAATCGCGCCTGGCTCTGCTGTCGCCGACCGCGAAGCATTCGATTTCGCGGGGAAATACCTCGGCATCGGCGCGACGAGGCAGGCGACAAAGGGAGCCAACGTCTACAGTGTTGCAGATGCTGAGTTCAGAGATTCCATTGGCAACAAGACTGTGGTAAACGTGTGGCAGAAATGCCCGCACCCTTTTCCACGAAATGCCTGTCGGAGCCGGAGTCGCTGTGGTCGGATGCTCTTCTGCAGTGGCAAGCGGCGAAATGGATGCCGATGCTTGGCTAGGGGCGCGCGTCTGCACTGCGGGCGACGGCTGTGATACTATCAGCATGGTGTTACATGTTAGTGGCATGCGTAACCCATTCGTGCATATTGCATTAATGTGCTACCGGTGGTGTGCTCAGGTATGCAGTCTAGCGGGAGCGTGCTATATCAAAGCCATATAACATGACTGCACCACTGTAGCGTTAATTCGTGGCCTTATAAGTACAGTCCTGCTTGTAGTACACAACCGAATGTGCCACTTCTTTTGCATACAAACATAATGGCATAGCTGCGTTTTGTTTCCGGCGGAATGTAATCCGAAATACTTGCTAATGTGTTTTGCAAGGGGACGTGCGGAAAACCACTTTGCAGGTTCTGACTTCGGCAGGGGGCGCCTGCCCCCCCCCCCCACACACAGAGCTGGTTGGCTTAAAGAAACAAAAACACAACTGGTTTTACAGACGCTACGTTCAATTGAAACGTGTCGCTTCTTTTCCCAGCTGCTCGCTTGAAATCGCTGGTACTGCTCCTCAGGGAGGACGAAGCCAAGACCAGGACAACATCGGACCATAACATAAAGTGGGGATCTCTAAGACCAGCCTACTCTGGAGGATGCATCGGGCGCCGCGGCCGCTCCAAGCACGCTCCAAAACGCTCCGAGAGCGTCCCAGAACGATCTGAAACGACGTATCCCAGACCTACGGTCGGGCGGGAACTGCTGCTTAGCGTGTCGCTGCGGCGGCCCCAGCGACACGCTATGCCCTGCGAGTGGATAGCGTGTCGGTTCGCTCCGCGGGGCGGGAGGCTCGCAAAAACTCGGGATGTTGACACGCGGGGACTGGGCAGTTGCCGGCGTGCCGTGTCGAAGTGTGTTTTTTCCCAGAACTGGCGACGCCACACGCTGAGCCACCAAAGTGCCTGGTCCAGAAGAAGAAAAACAGCATAATCATAAACTTTGGATTTCTTGGATCAGCGCCCGACTCTCCTCCCTGGTGGTCCGCGCGGATTTCTTGGATCGGCGCCCGACTGTCCTCCCTGGGCGCGGAGCGCGCCAGGGGCGGCGCTGCAGGCGCCGCCAGTGCGTTCCAGCGCCGATCCACAAAATCCGCGCGGACCTCCGAGAATTTGTGTTTATGCAGTTGCTTCCTTTTGGATGACTGTAGCCCCGCCCGACGTCTCTGGCGGCGCCTCGAAATATCGACCCATTCCTTGGGACCTGACTCGTTCTTAGGAGGTCCCGAGGCCCGGCGACAACCCGTCAAAGGCAGAGGAGTTGTCAGAAACCTCCCGTCGCAAAGGGGTCTGGGCCCCTCCATGCCTTCCCGGCTTAGCTGCCCCGATACGCAACACGCTACCCGTAACGTGTTGACCCGGAGCCCAACACGTAGACTGACTACGCAAGTCTGACGCGAAACACGTTAGCCAAGACGTGGGCCAGCACGGTGAGCCAACACGCAATGTGTTAGCACAGACGTTCTGAACACATTACGTGTTGCGTTTCGAGACGGGAAGTGTGATGGCGGCTCGAGGGTTGTGGAACAGGAACAGGCAGTAGGAGGAGGAGGAGGAGGATGAGGAGGGTGATCGAGGAGGATCAGTATGAGGAGGATCAGAAGGAGGAGGAGGAGGATGCGGATGCGGATGCGGAAGAGGAGGACGAGGATGATGATGCTGCTGCTGCTGATGATAATGATGATGACGATGCTGCTGCTGATCATGATGATGATGATGATGATGATGATGATGATGATGATGATGATGATGATGATGATGATGATGATGATGATGATGATGATGACAATGGTTATGGTGATGGTGATGATGCTGATGATGATGCTGTTGCTGTTGCTGCTGCTGCTGCTGCTGCTGCTGCTGATGATGATGATGATGATGATGATGATGATGATGATGATGATGATGATGATGATGATGCTGAAGACGATACTGATAATGATGATCAGGAGGAGGAGATGGAGGAGGAGGAGGAGGAGGAGGAGGAGGAGGAGGAGGAGGAGAGGAGGAGGAGGAGGAGGAGGAGGAGGGAGGAGGAGGAGGAGGAGAGGGAGGTTGGTGGAGGATCAGGAGGAGGAGGAGGAGAAGGAGGAGGGAGGAGGAGGAGGAGGAGGAGGAGGAGGAGGAGGAGGAGGAGGAGGAGGAGGAGGAGGGAGGAGGAGGAGGAGGAGGAGAGGAGGAGGAGGAGGAGGAGGAGGAGGAGGAGGGGGCAGCGGCGGCGGCGAGCCCGGGGGCGCGCCTGCGTCTCCGCGGGTGGGCGCACGGGGGGCGGCGGCAGCGGCGGCGGCGGCCAAGGGGCGGCTGGCGGGTGCAGGCCCGCGGGCGGGCGCCCGCTCCTGCGGGGGGCGCGGGTGTGGTGGCGCCCGCTGGCGTCCGTCGCCGGGGCCGCCGGCGTCGTGCGCGTCGCCGTGCGCCGGCGGGGGCCCCACGCGGACTTCTCACCTCCCGTCGGGGCCGCCGAGGCCCGGGGGCACCCTTGGAAGCTCAGGGTCGACGAAGGGCGTGCCCCTGAGCTTGTGCTCGCAGTGCTCCGTGCCGGCCTGCCTGTCGCAGGTCGGCTCGAGAGGCCTCCCTGCGGCAACCTGCGTCGCCCTGCAACGGCCACATCGTTGGCTCGAGCAGGGGCGGCTGCCGTCCGTCGTCGTCCGGCTGCTGGTCGGGCTCTGTCGGACTCTACGTGGGCGCGGTCCTCTGGAGGAGAGCCCTCGGGAGGAAGAGGAGAAGGAGGAGGAGGAGGCGAAAAAGGAAGACGAGGAGGAGGAGGATGATGACTAGGAGGAGGAGGAGGAGGAGGAGGAGGAGGAGGAGGAGGAGGAGGAGGTGGTGAGGAGGAGGAGGAGGAGGAGGAGGAGGAGGAGGAGGAGGAGGAAGAGGAAGAGGAGGAGGATGACGAGGAGGAGGAGGAAAACTCGAGCAATGGAGGGCTCTGTAGGACGCTATGTGGAGGGCGGGACCCCTGTCCGATCTCTGCTCCAGGCTTGGGTATCGGTTCATCTGGGGCTCGGGCGCCATCGCGCCGAGCCTCGTGGCCGACGGGGGCGCTCTGGAGGCGGAAGAGGACGAGAGAGGACAAGGAATGATGATGATGATGATGAGGAGGAGGAGGAGGAGGAGGAGGAGGAGGAGGAATGACGAGGAGGAGAAATGATGATGAGGAAGAGGAAGAGGAGAGAGGAGGAGGAGGAGGAGGAGGAGGAGGAGGAGGAGGGGGAGGAACGACGAGGAGGAGGAACCAGGAGGAGGAGGAGGAGAGGAGGAGGAGGAGGAGGAATAATGATGATGATGCTGATGATGATGACGATGATGATGATGATGATGCTGATAATGATGCTGCTGCTGATGATGATGGTGATGATATGATGATGATGATGATGATGGTGATGATGATGATGAGGGAGGAGGAGGAGGAGGAGGAGGAGGAGGAGGAGGAGGAGGAGGAGGACGAGGAGGGACGAGGAGGAGGAGGGGAATGACGAGGAGGGGAGGAATGATGAGGAGGAGGAGGAGGAATTAGGAGGAGGAGGAGGAGGAGGAGGAGGAGGAGGAGGAGGAGGAGGAGGAGGAGGAGGAGGAGGAGGAGGAGGAGGAGGAGGAGGAGGAGGAGGGGTGGATCACTGAGGCTGCCGGGGGCTCGATTCAGCGTCGGGCTCAGCTGCAAGTGATGGCGTGCCGCCTCGGCGTCGCCATCATGCAGGCGCTCGCCGGCCTCGGCGGGTGGGCCTTCGGGGACGCGGTCTCCCCGCCCGGGGCCCACCTGGGTCCTCCCTCCCTTCCCTCCCCTTTCCCTCCGGCGGGCGGCGTCCTGGCGGGCGGCGGGACGGACGACGACGACGCTGACGACCTCCCTCCCCCTCCTGGTGGTGGTGGTGGTGGTCCCCCGGGTGCTGACAGCCGTCCTAATTAGCTCCGCTTCTGTCCTGTGGTCCACCGGCCCTTTTCCCAAGGTTTGAACAGCGCTGCGCGTTGTTTTCAACAGCAGCTAGGGCAAAGGCACCCTGCTGCTTTCAATTCTCAGGAAGAGGAGGAAGAGGAGGATGAGGATGAGGATGAGGATGGGGAGGAGGATGAGGAGGAGGAGGAGAAGGAGGAGGAGGAGGAGGAATGACGAGGAGGAGGAGGAATCAGGAGGAGGAGGAGGAAGAGGAGGAGGCGGAGGAGGAATGATGATGATGATGATGATGGTGATGATGATGATGGTGATGATGATGATGCTGATGATGATGATGCTGATGCTGAGGAGGGAGGAGGAGGAGGAATGACGAGGAGGAGGAGGAGGAATGAGGAGGAGGAGGAGGAGGAGGAAGAGGGAGGAATGGCGAGGAGGAGGAGGAAGAGGAGGAGGAGGAGGAGGAGGGGAGAGGAGGGAGGAGGAAGAGGAGGAGGAGGAAGAGGAGGAGGAATGATCATGATGATGATGGTGATGATTCTGATGCGGAGGGATGACGAGGAGGAGGAGAAGGAGAAGGAGGATGGGGAGGAGGAGGAGGAGGAGGAGGAGGAGGAGGAGGAGGAATGACGAGGAGGAGGAGGAATGAGGAGAGGAGGAAAAGGAGGAGAGGAGGAGGAGAAGGAGGGCGAGGAGGAGGAGGAGGAGGAGGAGCAGCAGGAGCAGGAGGCGGAGGCGGAGGAGGGGGAGGAGGAGGGGAGGAGGAGGAGGAGGAGGAGGAGGAGGAGGAGGAGGAGGGGAAGGAGGAGGAGGAGGAGGAAGAGGAGAAGGAGGAAAAGGAGGAGGAGGGGGATGGGGAGCAGGTGGAAGGGGGGGGGGTGCGGGGGGGCGGCGGGGAGAAGGGTGAGCCGATTCGCCGACCCCACATTTGCTCCCCAAGAAGAAGTCGGAAAAGCAAAACAAAAGTGGAGGAACGACCGTACTCAGAAGGGACGAGACGAGGGCAAGCGGGCAACGCGCGAGAAGAGGGCAAGCGACCCCGCTCCAGTTCGTCTCAGGCTACGGCCTCATCGCGTGCAGTGCAGCGGCTCGGCACTCAGCGCCAGTGGTGTAAAGAAGCGCGGCGCGAGGCGCGGCGTGCGTGATGACGCGCACGTTGTTGTGCAAGTGGCATGAAAGTGTTGTCCGACGGGCAGCCTCAGGAATAGCGTGCTCAGGGTTCGCGCGTTGCCCAGGCGTCCCTAGGCCGATGCGAGCGAGGGGGTCCGAGGAGAGGAGGGGACGAGGTAACGCGAGGAAGCGGCGGAGGCGGGGGCAGGTGAGGTAATGGCCGAGACGATCTGGGCAAGCATCGCACCCGAGCAGCCAGGTGCGGCGCGGGCCGAAGGGGAAGCGGCGGCTGGTCCACCACGCTCCCGCCAGCGTCTTATATGCGGCCCAGCGAATGGCTGAGGCCTTCTTCGAGAGGTGACTGGCTAATTCCTGCCAGCGGTCGGACGTATTCGGTGGCGCGACGAGATCAGGTGGCGCCGAAAAGGGACGGCGTGCCAGAGTGTCAGCGAACTTGTCGGGGAAGAGCGAGCAGTGAGTGACCGAAGCGATGGAACGCGGGACCCTAACACGCCTGGGTTCTTGGGCAGCGGTAGGCTGTTCGTCTGCGGCCGCTCGCCGAACTGCACGCCAGGCGAGCGTCGAGACCGAGTGCGGTGGTCTGCTGTCAGCAAGCTCGCGCCAATATTCGGCGATGCAAGGGCACTTCCAAACCGCGGGAGAAGCGGTGGCCCAAATACGGGCCTGGGCCAAATCTGCCAGGGACAGTTCTGGGTCGAGCTTGTCTTGAGCAACTACTAAAGGGCGATACAGTGGCTTCCCGTCGGGAAGCGTGACGGAGGCCGTGCGCCACGCTGAGGCCAATGAAAGCGTGAACAGTGAATTGGGGGAGGACGAATGCGACCACGAACGAGTACCGAGGAGGTCGACGAGGCGCCAAGGGTTGGGGGGGATACCTGAGACGCTTATGTAGGGTGCAACGTTCGCGCCGCAAGAAAGTGGCTGGAAATGGAAAATACCGCGTGAGGTACGAGAAGACAATGATAACACAGGTGTTGCACAGTTTGAGCGCCACTGCGGGGCCAGGAGCGCTCGCCGCTAATTGTACAACGCGCAACCAGTAGTTACCACATGCGGCTTTCCATTGGATGTCTAAAGCTACTGCTGGGCCAGTGAGCACGCCTAGATAGCGAGCGCATTCTGCAATCTGAATGTGTTGCCACTGGGGCACCAGAAATGCCAAGAGGCGTTGGGTGGGGGAGTGCACGGCAAGTGGAAAAAAGGGGGCCCACAAGGGCACAATCGCTGTCTTCTGGATCTGTAGTTCGGGTCCTGCGAGAGTAGCAATGGCCCGGAACGGGGGAAGGCGGAAAAGGGGGGTCCCAAGGCGAGCGATGATGAGACCCAAGTCATCTGCGCAGGCACCGAACTTGTTGGATCCAGAGAGGGTGCTTATAATCTGGGCTAGGTGTCTAATTTGCGCATCAGAAGCCAGGGCCCAAATCGATCCCGAGAGGGGGCGGCACTGGAGAACACCTGAACCTATTTCGGACATGTGTTGCAGGCGGCCACCTGCACGGGCCCAGGCTCTAGGGAGTGAGAAAAAACATGAATGACACTGAGACAGCCTGGAGGAACCCCGTGCACTACCAGAGATGCAAGTAAACAGCTCCCATGCTAAGGATGGGAAGGCAGCTTTGATATCACAGCTGACAAGGATAAGGGAAGCATATGGTGCCTCTGGGGGGTGACCTGCTCTACGGGCCTCAGAGTCTAGGGTCAGTACGTGTTGTCCAAAAGCTTCGCCCCTTTACAGAACCCTGTGGTGTGTCTATTGTCCGATCCCTGACCATGTCCACGAGACCCATATTCACGACTTGAGCGATCAGTTTGGCGTCGCAGTTCTTTGAGGAGAAAGGGCGAATGGCACCTGGAGCTCGAAAGACGGCATACTGGTCCTGGGGTTCGTCTCCTTTCGGAAGAAACGCGAAGACCGAGTCGTTGAACTGGTACGGGGCCAGGCCCGTTTCGAACATCTGCATCATGAGGTCATAAAGCATCTGAGAAGATCCAGGCGAAGTGGCCCATGCAGCGTATGGAATATGATGTGGGCCTGGAGCGGTATGTCTGACCTTACGGACGGCCTCTGAAAATCCTGAAGAGCTGGAACCCGCAGGTCCGCGCAATCGAACTTGGGGAGGTGCTGGGACAGGTACTGCTGAACCGCCATGGGGTCCACAATCTTGCTCGAGAAAATGGGCTGCCAAAACTTCTGGAGGCCTCCGACAATACCCTCTGGAGAACTGGTGGTGGTGATGGGGTCCGGGCGTGTGAGCTGCATCGCGGCCTTCCGACTGCCGGCCTGGTCCAGCTGCATCTCGGCGTTGGACTGCAGCTGGCGCTTCGTGGCGAGGGCGATGCGCCTGACGTAGTCGGCGGTGACCGCCGCGTCCATCAACTTGACCTGCTCGTCCCTGTTCGTGAGCTCGGGGCCGTCGTCCGTGGGGCGCAGGTGCGCGCTGCCGATGTCGGTTGTGGCCATGAGGAGCGACGCCGTGTCCGAGTCCTTTCGCCAAATCGCCCGTGGAATTGCACGAAGAGCAGTGGGCCTGCCGTGTTCCGCCCAGCGGCTGTGGTCATGACGGGAGGCACGCTGCCGCAGGTTGCGAGTGAGTCTCGCCGCTTCTTCGATGATGAGCTGGTGCTGCTTCCAAACACAGAGGGGAGGAGGAGGAGGAGGAGGAGGAGGAGGAGGAGGAGGAAGAGAGGAAGAGGAGGAGGAGGAGGAGGAAGACCAGAGTAAAACCAGGATGCGTCAACGATGCTGTGGCCCGTCCCCTAAATCCCTCCACGTAAAATGTGTTCAAACAGCACGGTGTTCCTTTCCACTGGAAGGGAGCGCCCCCCCCTTCGATGACGGGCGCCCAGTGGGTTTGCCACTGCCACTGAGGCAAGATCCCGTTCTGCAGAGGATGCGCCCTTAAGCTTTCCAGCCGCACTGATCAAAGAAGGTAGGACGAGACAGCTCAACACACATGCACAACGATAAAACCATGTTGAAGAAGATCAGCCTGAAACAGATCAGCCCTCCATCGGTATAAGTACTGCTCTGATTCCGCACTTCGGGTCGTAACATGTGCAATCATCTCAGACGAGAGCCCAACTCGAAAATAATAACGACCATCCATCCATGTAGCTGTTGTACATCTTGGAACTCGGAGACATACAAGATGACGTAATTCAAACAATAATCGCACTTCGAAAACGAACCAACCTGCATCTTGGTAACTGCCGGAAACTTGTGAAACGCATGTTTACGGCGCTGAGACGAGAACAACGTTTTGAACACCACCCCATCCATCCGTCAAGCTGCTGGATCTGTTTGAGACGAGTGTGCACGGCGCCTGGGCGAGAAACGCATTCTGGAAACGGTTTAGCACCTATCCTGGCAGCTGCTGGAAGCCTTTTAAAAAAGGAGCCTGCGTGGCGCTACAGAGAGAGAGCAGCACTTGGGAGCCTTTTAAAAAACCACCCTCTTCACCCGTGCAACCGTTGGAAGCCCATGTGCGCGGCGCTGCTTCGACAACCCCATTTTTGAACATTACCCTCCTCCGTACTTGTGACTGTTGGGAACTTTTGAAGCACAGGTGCGCGGCGCTGAGGCGAGAGCCGCGCTTCAAAACCACCCCCCTCCATCCTTGCAACTGCTGGATCTGTTGAGCTGCAGGATTGCAGATTGCGAAGGCGTCCTCGGCGGCACGCGCAGCCCGGCCTACGGACACGCCCGGGGGTGCGACAGGGAAACACCATTACAACGGAACGGGATGGGAGAGGAAGACGAATAGGAGGGAGGAGGAGCGATGAGCAACATGGGGATCGAGGGAACCAGGATGCTAATGATTAGGACGGGGAGGAAATGGGCGAACTTATGCTGTGCAAGCGGTGTGGGAAATAAGCAACTGGGGCGGCTGTGACGACTTGGCGCTGAACTCGCGCCACGGTCTCCTCCCCCTCCTCGGCTTGGTCCTTCGTGTAAGGCCCTGTCGAACCCGCGGCGTCTCAGTTGGCGTGTTGTCGCAATATGCGCGACACATCGAGCACGTTGCGATCTGCAAGCGCACGTCTAACCATGCCTCAAGCGACAGCTACAGACGCATGTCTCACCATGCATCCAGACAGGCTTTCTTCCCAACGCAGTCAGTGTCCACGACACACATGTTATCATCTGCGTCCCCATTTCCTTCAAGAAGACCGGAGACTACGAACAACTCCCCTTTGCCTACCGGCTGGCGCACATCTGGGAGGCCCATCATCCACTGCAGAATGTCGCAGCCCGTCCTGAAGAACCGTGGCGAACCTCTTCGAGGAGCACTCCGTCTTGAACCGACAGCTTGACGGTTCTCCGCTCCGCCTGGCGCTCCCGCGTCCTGGACGACTGGACAGCTGTGCGTCCTGGACGAGTGGGACCGCTGCCTCGGCCCGCTCAGACGCCGGGGTGCAAGCTCTGGGCCGTGCCCGGCAGCTGCAGGTCGGCGGCTTCCATACGGTCCGGGAAGCCCTGGAAGGAGGCCATACTTCGGACGGCAGCGTGTGTGCGCATCTCCACCTGCTGGCGATGCTGGTCGACGATGCTGGCCGTGCAAGGGCCCATCGGGATAATCATGGGCTGCAGCTGCCGCTGGCACTCGGTGCTCGCGAGGGGAGCCACCTCGAGCAGGAACAACTCCAACATTAGAACACGCGTCCCACCGTCGCTACCGCCTGCGCACAATCTGCTCACCCTGCCACCGCGCGTGCAACATGCCGAGTAGCGAGGCGACCAAGCAACAATTCAACATCCCGGGCAACGGCACGTGAGGGCCGTGTATGCAAGTGCGCGACGAAGTGCAACATGTGAAGAGCGCAGCGCTCTGGCATGGCTCGATCCGAAGCGCTGTGGCATCATGTTGGCCCAAGTTGGGGGCGACGTTCCCATTTGAGCGCACACATAGCTACGGTGGTGGAGAATGATGGCAGGATGGAGGAGCAAGAGGGAGGGGGAGGGGAGGAGGCGGGGTTGAAGGGATGGCATCGGGCCGACCCCGTCTGCCTGTTGGAGCCCAGAGTGTGCCGCCTGGGGCGGACCTGGCCACTCCCACTCCGTTCATTCCTCCCTCCGGGCGTATCCCCTGCAACTCACTTGAATCGGCGTCTTCAGTGGGAGGGGGCATGCTGATGATGGTGATGGTGATGGCGATGATCATGATCATGATGGTGTGATGGTGGTGGTGGCGATGATGATGATGATGATGATGATGATGATGATGATGGTGGTGATGATGATGATGGTGCGCTCCTTGGTGGACATCCAGGCTTTGTCGCGGTACCGCAACACACGAAAGGCGACTCTGCCTTGAGAGGCCCATGCCATGCCTTGGAGGTGTCCAGCCCAGGCGCGAGGGAGACGTCGGCAACCCTGGGTCCAAGGCTCAAGTTCGTGGCGGGTTCGCATCTCGGAAACGAAAGCCATGGTAGACATCATATACTCGGCAGCAATGTCGGCACATGGTGGGTGAATGGCTCGTTTTAGCATGGTATTGCGGCATTGAGAGATGCGGCTGAGGCCCGAGACAGATACATGTTGGCGGCCTGTACAGCACGTGAGGCAGGAGCGGACACATCTATTCAACGCCTTGGGGCGACTCCGCAGGCCCATTTGCTGGTTGGTGAGCAGGTTCCTGTGCGCTGCTGAATGAGGTCCGCCAAGCACGTTCGATTAGTTGTATTTCCAACCTCTCCCGTGCAACTGCGATCGGAAGCTATGTGCGCGTCGAGAACTTTGAGATCAGCAGCGCGCTCACGGCAAGGGGGCCAGCGTGCCTCTCACGCGAAGTTTGCCACGATGTGAGGGATACGTATGACACCGTTGCATGTCGTCTACGGGGACCATCAAGACTGCTTGTCTGTAATATACGCAGCCAGGCTCAACTTATTTGCTGGGCCATGGACACTGAACGGGCCAGAATCCAAACATTGCCAGCACCACCTACAATACCAAACGCCAGGTCGTCCCCTCCAGGCATCGCGAGGCAGCCACCCCGCCCGCCTCTTTTGCACTGGTCCTGAAACTTGCGGAGGTCCACGCCCAGAGCAACGTTGCTCAACTTCGGGGCGGCAGAGCCGCCCTGGATGAGGCTTCTCTCCCGGCGGACTCTATCCGTCAGGGGCCGTCGGGGGATTCCATGGCAGTCGAGTTCGGGCGCGGGAGTTGCATGTCTCTCGAATCCAAAGACCTATAGCTACGCATGACACTTCATGTTCGTCGATAGCTGGGATATGATACGTTATATTGTCGTACTCTTGCCGGTATCGCCTCCGGCAATGACTAGGGGTGGCTCCTTCTGTTCGCAGGAATTCCCAAGCAAGTGCCGCGAACTATCTGTGATCTCATGGGCGTGGTCTGATCGGCGGAGATTAAGCTGACACTCCGGCCAATTCATCTCTAAGCCAGGCCGTTGGACCTCCAGGACCATCGTGGGCGCGAGTTTCAGCGAGACAGAAGCCAAGGCAACCATCGGTCTAAACTCGGCCACCCGGGAGGCCTCAGGCTTCTGTCTGAATCAACTGCGCCTCGTGATCTTGCCAATCCACGCCGAAATGCTCCATGATGTGATTTTTCTGAGGCGCGAATGGAGGGTCCGATGACTAGATTCAGAACGTCATCATCGACCCCTGAAACATCTCGGCGACGGCCACGTCCGACTCCGCACGCGACTTGCTATGCTTGGACTGTCTTTCCGCTGTTTTCAAGGGGGCGAGGGAGAGAGGGACTTCGGCCTGCTGGTCGTCAGCCGACCACTGGCGGGGAACCCACTCGGGAAGACTCGCGTCGCTGGACGGGTCGAAGAACAGCTCGATGTAGAAATTGCGGGTCAGCTCGCGCCGGTGGCCGCGCGGTGTCCCTCGCCGGTTCTGAGCTCGAAGACATGCTTGCCAGCTCGGTGCGGTCGTTCAGCTCGTCCTCGAACGCACAGCCGTTCAAGGTGGGTGCTCGTCTGGCCTCTATCACTGGCGGCCCCAGCAAGTGGCGCACGCGGAGGTCAGTCTCCTGCTTGCGTACCTGCTCCAAGCGTTTCAGGTAAATCAGCTCCGGGTCGCCTGGGGGTGGTCGCCATCGTCCTCGTCGCGGTGCGTGCCCCGCCGCGGCGGCGCCCGTCGCTGCGCCCTCTGTCAAGACTGCGATGGACGGGATTCCCTGCCTCTGGTAGTCTGTCGTCGCCACCGGCGGTCCAACAAGCTGGCCAAGGTGTCCGCGCCGTCCTCTCGCGCGATCTCGGCGCGCCTGCGCGGGCGGGCTGCCGATTGAGTCCGCGCGTGATCCTGGAGCCGCTGACGATGCTCAGCTGCGCCCCAATCCATCCTTGGCACGGGCGTCTTCAGTGTAGTCCTGAGAACCTAGCGTCCGCCCCCCGCTTGGCCATGGCGGCCTGCTCCTTGCCAGCGCTGTCGCTGCGCCCCCTGATCCAGCGTGTATTTATGTCGAAGTGGGCCCTGGCGCGTCTCCGCATATGGGCCGCAAGCAAGGCCAACTCGACATTGTCTCTGGGCTAAAGCGTCTCCTGCAGAAGGCCCTGCGCGCACGTCGAGTCGGTGATCAGTTGGGCGAGCCTGCTATCAGAGACGAGAAGATCGGTCGTCCCCCGCTGGCCCAAGATCCATGATAATGCTTCCACCGCTGCCGAGAGCTTGCCTCGCGTTTGCTGCGAAGGTGCCTGCGCCCGCGAAGCGGCGGTCCCGAGACGCGGTGATCACTGGCCCGCACGCCTCGAGGAGCGGCGCGCCCGGGTCGCGGGGCCGGGCAGGACGGCGCGCCGCGAAGCCCCGCCCTGCGCCGGAGGCTCGGCGCCGATCCCGTCTCCGCCCTCGCGCCGAACCATCCGCGAAGATGCCCGTCGCGCTGGCCAAGTCGCCCTCCGAGAATTCGATCGAGCTTGGCTGAAGTGCAGCGCAGGCCGTCTCGTTGAAGAGGTGGGCGCCCTCCAGCGCCATGCCGCGGGCTTGCGGGGCAGGCGTTCCCTGACGTCGTCGCCGGGATCGAAATCGACCTCCTCCGATGTCGGGATGGCCTTGCCCGCGCAGCAACACAAGAGGAGCGGTGCGCGATCGCTGTCGGCGGCGCCTGTGAAGCGGGCTCGGCGGGCGCGCGACCTGAGCCAATCTCGATGACGCAGCATGAGGTCGATCTGACCACGTTTTTTTGCGATTGTCGAAGTAGCAGGTCGCTTGCCCCCGCTGTCCTTTCGAGAAAATGTTCAAGGCCGCAGGGTCCAAGTCTGTCATCCGGTCAAACAGCATCTCACCTCTCCAAATCATACGCGTCGAAGAATGTGGTCCTACTGTCTCGCCCTGTGTCCGGTCTGGCTTGAGCGCCAGTGCCTGCGCAGACCCTTATAATACCACCTCGAATTCACACGGCAAGCGTAGGAGCAAGCACTGCTAACAGCAAAACGCTCGGCATGCAATTGCCCAGCGGTGAACTCGCGGAACAGAAGCGAGCCTGTGTATCAACCCACGAAATCTCTTTACCACCGAAGCGGTGCACGTATCGAAGAGTGCCTGCACATACCTGCCAACACTCTGTGTCTCAATACTTTGTGCCGCAACCAGCGCTCCTACGTTGACGGACGCACGATCCCGAAGAGTCACGTCGAACCTTCTCCAAATCGGAAGCAAGATCGCTGTTGAACACCTCCTGTCCATTATTGAACGAAGAGCGGTGCACGAGAGCGACGCCACTTACCCGTGGCCTCCTGGGCGCAAGAGCGCCCGGATACGAGCACGACGAACCAGTCCCACCATGATTTCCGCGCACAACATCAAGAACAACACGAGCCGCGCTTCCCCCAGCGGCGGCAACCATCACGATCGTCAACCTCGTCCGAATCGATCGAATCCTAATTTCCAGAATTGCCAGGGCCAGCAAAGTCAATAATACCAAGAGTCAACGTACGTGCGCTAAACCAAAAACTGATGTCGCTGCAATCCCCATTAATATGATGATGCCGCCAGTCAACTGTAATATGTGTGTTAGCCAATTGTGCCAAGACATCCAGAGAGACAATGCCAATCTTGCATTGAATAGGCGACGCCTGCAGATGCCCGCGCTGAAAAAGGGCTTTGCACTTGCCACGCCCGCGCTCCGCAGCAACAGAGAAGGCGAATGATGTAGCAACGCCTGCAGCAACCTCTTCGCGAATCCATCGGACACGAGCAACAACAACCACAAGGTAAAACACACAGATGGCGCAGGTGCGCTCGCAAAGCAATGGGGCCGAGCACGTGCCTGAACCAAAATTGGCTATGATGATCATGATGATGATGTTGATGATGCTGATGGTGATGATGGTGATGCTGATGATGTTAAAGTTGACTGAGGTCCCTAACCTCAGCCGATCTCGTCGCGAGCACCCTGGCTCGCGCCAACGCCAGCTACAATCCGATGCTCTACCAACTGAGCTGTAGCTGGCGTGAGGTCATGATGATCGTTGTTACGATGCGACCAGCGTTCCTGGAGACCCGAAACCGGGAGACAATGAGATGTGCAACTAATCAAGCGAAAAATAAACTTCCGCGACAAGTACGGGAATACCGAGTGCAGCAGATGGCCGTGCAATCAAAAGACCATTGAGTGCTGGAGGAGTAGCCCAACATGAGGGGCCCACGAGGGTGCTGATGACGACCCATATAAGCAAAACATGCGCCGAGTGGGCTCGCAGCCGGTGGAGGAGACCCTGTGGCCACGGGGCCTATATATAAAGGGCATGGGAAAACCACTGCGCGATTGAATTCTGCTCGCACGCATCATGCCACTGACAGCCTTCTGTCGTTCGCTTCCGCGGTGAGCTGCCCTGCTCCCTCCCGCCACGTCTCCCCCCTCCGAGCCTCTCGCGTCAGTGCGGCTGGATCCCGTCGCGACGACGCGGACGTTGACCTCTAAGACCGCGAAGGCCGTTCAAGTCCGAACGATCCCCGCTGCTCGACAGCGGAGATCGTTCACGATCGGCCTGACTCAAGCCGCGGGTGTCCTTCGAACTTGACCGCTAGCGCTAGCGTCACCAGTGTCCTCGCCATCGCTCGGACGTCCATTCCCTGTGTTTTTTTGTCGGTTTCGTGCGTGGCTTTTCCGCCAAATGATCGAGAATGCTCCTCGATGGTCCTCGCCGCAGGAAGAATGCACACGTCCGAGCGATGCCAAGACCAGTGTCGGCGCGGCGCGAACCTGCCGTACAGTGCCACGGGAGCCGCTGCGGGTGTCCTTCGACCTTGAACGCTGGCGCCGGCGTCGCCAGCGTCGGCGCGGCGCGAGCCTGCCGTAATCACAATGCCACTGGAGCCTCACCTGCCTGCCGCACCGCGGTCTAGTGGAGCGGTGCGAGTGCGGCGGTCCTCCGCCCCCTCCTCCTCCTCCTCCTCCTCCTCCTCCTCCTCCTCCTCCTCCTCCTCCTCCTCCTCCTCCTCCCCTTCCTTCTCTTCCTCCTCCTCCTCCTCCTCCTCCTCCTCCTCCTCCTCCCTGCTCGACCCCACCCGATGGCGGCCCACCTTCCGCGCGCTGCTTCTCACCGCTCCGCTTCCCTTGTATGTACGGTCGGACCTGGGCCAGAAGGACATCCTTTCAGGACAGGAGACCCTCCGCCGGCCCAAACACTGAGGAAGCTTCGAGGGTGCCCTCTCCCCCAGGGTGCACAAAAACACCCAACAGACACGAAGGAGGTTCTGGTACCCTCCCCGAACCGACCTGGATCTTATTCCGTGGAGGCCAGTCCACAAGAAACCATCCACAAGAATCCCAACCCTGAGGCCCCAGGGCGTCCATGGATTTTTGGTGTGGCGACGCCACCTTTCCCACAGAAGAACCATCGAAACCCAAGACACCCACGGCACCATGGAGGCAAGCAAAGTGCTTCTTGGCATGGGTCTCCACTGCACCTCGCTCCGACAAGAACCTCGCCGTCCCGTCAGGGAAGGCGTCCCGAGGGAAGCGGGCCCTGGACGCCAGAGATAGGGAGCCCCCAAAAGGACGTACGCGCCCAGCTATGCACACGAACACGGCCCCTCGATCCGCGAGACTGGCCGCGCGATACGAACGCTCGGGCAATGCGTACTCTCGAAACCAGCGCGGATTCATGTGCGCGTACGAGAACAAGAAGTCGGGCTCCGCATCGAGCCGCATCGGCGATGCATCGGTGATGCGGCGCGCTCCTCCGACCCCATCTACTCTGACCCCTTCTAGGAGGTCTAGATCTCCCCATCTCTCTGTCCCAAGCCGCCCTCCGACGCTCCCGGGGCCCAGAGGGGCGGCCCTCCCGGGGGGGCCGCAGGCTGCGCCTGGCCCTCCTCGCCCGGCCCTCCTCGGCCTCCTCCTCCCACTCCTCCTCGTCCTCCTCCTCCTCCTCCTCCCCCTCCTCCTCCTCCTCCTCCTCCTCCTCCCTCCTCTCTCCTCCTCCTCCTCCTCCTCCTCCTCCTCCTCCTCCTCCTCCTCCTCCCTCCCCCTCCCCCTCCCCCTCCCCGCCCGCCCGATCAGCGACTGCGGGTCTGTCCGTCTGCCGGGCCCTGCCCAGCGAGGCGTGTCCCGCCGAAGCGAGTCGGGCAGAGCGGGCCCCGGCTAAGCGAGTCCCGGCGAAGTGAGTATCGTGACAGGCCTAAAGGTTGGCACCAACACCAATATCGGTGGGTGTGCCTCCACCGAGGGAAGAAGATCCCGATCTTGGCGATGGTGGTAATATTCTGGCTTCCAAGGTGACCGAAATATTACCACCAACACCGAAATCGAGGATCATCTTCCCCCTGTGAACGCAAGCCCCTGTGTTGGTGTTGGTGCCAATTTCCAGGCCTCCAATATCGGGCGAAGCGAGTATCGGGCGGATGGAATTGGACGAGCCTCGGGCCAAGCGAGACCGCGTCCCGTGCTCGGCTGCCCCCCGAATCTTGCCTCTCCCATTCCTGCCCCCTCTCCTTCATGTTGCCCCTCCTTCTCCCTTCTCCTCCTTCTCCTCCTCCTCCTCCTCCCCCGCCTCCCTCTGCTGCTCCTGCTCCTCCTTGTCCTGCTTTGCCTCCTCCTCCTCCTCCTCTATTTTCTGCTGCTGCTCCCCTCTCCATTTCTTAGCCCTCCTCATGCTGCTCCGCCCTCTGCCTTTCTCACTCTCCTGCTGCTGCCCCTCAGCCTTGCTTCTCCCTCCTGCTCTTCCTGCTTCCTTCCTACTGTAGCCAATTTGGCTCAAGACTACGAGACTCAGAAAGAACCAAGTGGATACCGCTAGTCCGCGGCAGTGCCAGGGCCTTGGGCCCGACAACTTTCCTCGCGTTGCCTGGTCAGCCCCAGTGCACCGCCAGCAGCTGTTTACTCGGCGAGCTGGTTCATTCTCACGCCCGCCCAGGTCTGTCACGGCATGCCGCTTGCTTCTCGCGGGCAGCTTCGACGCATGGCTTGGGCTTCGCAGTGGAACTGTACGTGGTGTACGAACGCGTCTGGCGGGCACTGGTGGAACGCAGCTACGGCGTACACCTGTGGTCAATGTGGGTGCAGCAAAGAAGTGGGATTCCATTATGTCCGACAGCCTGGCGACGGGTCGCCAAGTACCAGCCTCAGGAAGGCCCCTGCGAAGTCGGTGCGGGAGAAGCAGCTGGAGAAGCAACTAGTTGCGGAAACAACTAACCGTCACGCAGCCCCACAGCAACGGCTCCAACAATTCCATGGAGGTCGATGCTGGCAATGATTCGGTCGCGGGAGAGTCTGTATGGGAAGACGAGTTGGCTCTGGCAGAGGCGATGCTCAAGTCGCTTCCGAAGGAACCAAGGTCCGACATTGGCAAAGAGCAGAAGATGCACCTGGAGCGACAGCGTGATGCGTGCAGGGCCAAGTTGCGAGCCGCCCGGCCCTTCGAGCGGAGGGCTCATGTTGTGGCCAACTAGAAGAAACAGCTGGAGGAGAAGCGTGTACGGCTCGATATGGGGCGTGCACACAATCCGAGCTTCGCCTGGAGGAAGCGACG